ACGGCCATACAAGATCTGTGCGTGGTCAATAAGAGCCACAAGAGTACCACAACTTTTACAAATACATTCTGCAAGATTCACAAACACATAAGCAGTTTTCAGATGTACACAATTCAACTTATAGTAATTGAATCAAGTGTTTACGTACGTAAATGTGTAGATGACTTGGGAGTCAGTTTCTTTAAGTCCGAGGCCATGCTTCTTGACCTGAAATGGGTGGAATGGCCCCTCTGGTTGGGCGGGTTACTCTCGGGTGGAGGAGTTCAAGTATCTGGGCGTATTGTTCATGAGTGATGGTAGGAGGGTGCGGGAGATGGATCGATGAATTGGGGCCTCATTCTTAGTAAAGAAGGCGTTGCTTCTTTCAGTGGCAGAGAAGAAAGAGCTGAGTCGAAAGGCAAAGCTCTCGATTTCCTGCTCCGTCTACATTCTGACCCTCATCTACGGTCATGAGATTTGAATTGTGACCCAAAGAATGAGATCCTGAATACCAGCGATCGGACTGAGCTTCCTTGCAGAGACAGGGTGAGAAGCTAGATGTGGTAAAATATTGAGATTCATGAGCATTCCCTTATCCCCAATTTAACGTCACCACACGTACTTTTTGGTATGGAGAACTTTGGTTGGATCTTATTAGGCAACAAAGTGAATTCTTTATTTTCGACTATGCAGGCTGTTTGGGCAGCTCGGTAGTCAGTGCCATGGTCTTCTAATCCTGTGGTTGCAGGTTCGGGCCCAGGTTGTGTCAGGAAGAATATCCAGTGTAAAACAATTGCTAAATCTTTCATGTGAGTTTGCTCCCTGTGGTGACCCCTGAAGAAGGGAGCAGCCGAAAGAAACTTACTAGACTACGTTGGCTGTTTGTCTCATCATGGAGCCCAAAGCCTCATCCAGTCCCCCCCCTTTCTGGCCACTGGGGCTCCATTAGAAGAGATTATACATTGTTGAGACTAAAAGGTACAAAACTCAATCAACATGTGCAATGATTGTTGTGTTTAATGTAGTACTGCTATTGTCATCATTAATATGATTGCTCAACAAATCTGATGCCTATTCCGTGGAACACAACAAGCACCGCACCTTGGAATAAAAAAGATATGTGAATGTGATAACAGCAGTAATCGTAAAATAACTTTCTATTTGTATTGCAAGTTACAAATGTTTCTACATGCTCCCCAACAAATCACAATATAAAAAAAACTAACAAACAAGAAAAACAACATTATAAGAATGGAAAAAAAAAAGTTTTTGTCCTTTTAAAAGGCACTTTACAGAATAGTAGTAACACATTTTAGCAACTTACAGGCATATATACATAT